TTATTCAATTTTAGGGGTCCCCCCCCCCCCCCCCCATAGGCGCCTTGTTTGTCCCGTCCCGTCTGTACAACAACAAAAAAAAAACGAAAATGCACCATTTACCACTCCTTCCCCACGCTCGCCGCGTACCTGTACGCACGCACCCGCACTCACTCCTTCTCGTTCACCCGCACCCCCCGTTCTTCTACGCCGCTTCTTCCTCCCCGCCCCTCAATCTCCTCTCCAAAATGAACCACGAGCCCATGCTCCAGGACTCCCAAGACGCAGGGGCGCAGGAGGCGGTCCTGCAACCCGCCTCCACCTACGCCGCCCAGGGCTCCGCCGGCGCCTACCGGCGGCGGCCGATCGTCGTCCGGGACCCCAAGACAGGTGATACCCGAGTCATCCAAGGAGGGCACCAGCGGGGAGCCAGTGTTGGCGTAGGGGTGACGTATGGAAATGGCGCGGCGCGTGGCGGATATCGGGGTATGGACGATGCCGCCGAGTTCGAGGACGCTCCCGTCGTCAAGATTGTGTCGGGTTATCGTGGACGCCAGATCGTAGTTCGCGATCCCGCGAAGAGGGGTGCAACCGACATTAACCCCCAGCATGTCGCAGGTGGGCCCTTGGGGGTTAGGGGCGGCGGCGTCAGGAAGACAAACTATTATGATCGCAGGGGGCCAAGGGACACGTCCTACTCTCCGGAAAGATATGGAGACAAGCGCAGTGGGCGTGGTGCTCCTTACTACGAGGATGATGAAGAGGATCGCAGGATGTACGGAAGGGGAAGGGACCAGTATGACGGTTCCCAGATGGTTGCTGCCCATGGCTACGGGGACAGTAGGTACGACAGGGATTATTACAGGAATGCCAACGCGGGACACAATGGAGTCCCTGCCCATGATGACCTGACGGGCAAGGTCGTGTACGTCGACAATCTCAGTGACGACGTCACGACCAGGGGTTTGGCCGATTTGTTCAGCATGGTTGGTACAGTGAAGGAACTGCGTCTGCTCTACGACCGCCAGGGTAACCCAAACGGTAGCGCTGATATTGTCTTTCAGCATCGTGCGGATGCTGAGGAGGCTATCAAGTCTCTTCACAACGTTCCCTTGAACAATCGTCCCATGCGGCTCTCCATGGGCAATGGGCTGTGAGTGACTGTTGGATTGGTGCGTTTGTGAATTTCGTCATGCTTCTGTTGGTTCTTTGGTTCGAGTAAAGGTTGTTGTTGTGGTAAAGTTTGTGTGATGGGCGCTGGGGCAAGCGTCATACGGATGTAGGGTTTTCCTTTGTGTTTTGCGGGCGGGTATAACAAGCTCCTCCGGAACCTGTCGGAGCACGGGCTGGCTAGGCCAGAGTAGTGACATTCGGTGGGCTCAGGACTTCGTAGAGAAGCGCAGACTTCGTTTACAGTCCAAGGCTGCATACCCGATTTGTCTCCGACGTGATGCTTGTGGTGCGAAGCGAGCGCCGCTGGAAGGCACGACGATGCAGACTTGAATCGGTGAACGGTTCGCTGGCGCTGCACTGATGGCAATCGGTCCCATGTTTGGCCAATTGCGCGAAGCAGTCGAGACTCATTGCTTTTCGTCGGAAGCACAAATCTCACAACATGTGTGTCGTTGCAAGCTCAGCCGTTGTAACGGTTAGCAAGTTGTACTCATCTGAAGCAAAACCCCCTACAGCATATGCATTGCTACATGCCGAACTGTGCGTCGGTTTGTCAATGCTGTAGCCTCACGGGCATGACGCCCGGCAGTCGTAGTTTGCAGGCCATTGGTCCCACGCAAGTTTGGGTTTGGAAAATTTCCTGTAATCGCGCAATTGTTGATCGGTTGTTTGCATCTGGATGTATGCGACTTACTGCTCTGGTAAATGCATATCATCACCCCTCGTGAAAGAAGATTTGCACGCCCTAGCGACAAAAAATCGGTGATGGCCCACTTCCATCCAAGTGGAGAGCCTGCCTCTACGCAGCCGGTCCATGTGAGCTTGGTGCATGTGGAAAGAGTCCTCAGGTATTTATATACGAGCGGGGAAGGTCATGAGGGATTGTGGATTCTGCTGGTATCGTTCGAACCACGGGGCTTATGGGCAGATTGTCAATGCTGTAGCCCCACGGGCATGAAGCCCGGCAGTTGCAGTTTGCCGGCCATGCTCCGAAGCAAGTTTGGGTTTGAAAAATTTCCAGTAATCGCGTAACTGTTGACCGGTTGTATTTATATACGAGCTGGTTAGGTCATGAGGCATTGTGGATTCTGCTTGTATCGTTCGAACCACGGAGCTTAAGAGCAGACACGTCGTAGAGTCACGGTCATGACTTGTCGCTTATTCAGAGTCCAGTAGGACACACTTCCCCGAAAAGGACGTCAAGTTGCCAAAGTGGTCATAAAGGTCTGCTATCCTCAGCGCGAAATAGCCAGTGTCACAATTAGGAGGGCGGGATTGTGCTCGTGCGGGTACTGGGCACGTGTATTCACGAAACTGCATTTGCTGCAGTTTTCAGGGTACCTGCGCTGTGGAAAAGGCAGTCCGTGGCACCAGGCACATCAGGGAACCATTTTGCGATTACGACTCCGCCGATATTGGTGTTGGAGAAGCGACGGAGACTTGGTCTTTCCTAACTTCAGGTCTGGTTGTCTGAAGGTCCGACATAAAACAGCTCAGTTCTTCTTCTCAAGACCAATGAGGATCAAATTGGAAAACGAACTGGCTACAGCGAAGCAGGATACCAAGGTCAGGGTATGGTTTTCAATAACATTGAATATATCCTGCTTCTCCACATTATGGAGAAGCAGGATGCCGAGGTCAGCATATGCCTTTCATGTTTAAAAACAGAGTAGGCGGTCATGATTGGAAAGGCGAAACGAGGACCTCATGGGGCGCAGGTGTCCTCGTGTCGGCAATTGACGCCTTGCACAGGGGACCCTACCCATTAGTGCCGCCCCTGTGCGAGACCCCAAGAATGGCACTATTGGGAGACGGCATTAGTAGGTGACGTCGCCACATATATTTTCATGCACTCGGCCGGAGCAGGCAGACGTTAATTACCGATAATTAACGTCTGCTTGCTCCGCGTTGGGTCTCTGTCGTGTTTTGCAGTGAGAAACGCGCGCTTTGCCCACCTCAGATACGATAGAACGTCTGAAACTTGACATTCAGTCGCCAAAACTTTCAGCTCTCCAAACAATTCCGCGATCTCAACGACAGAGGTTACAGTCCTTCTCTCTCTCGCGTCCTCTGCGCTCCCATCTTCATCACTTGATTGCGTTGTAGTTAAGATCTGCTAAGGTCTGTGATCGCTGTTCGGTGAATAAGATCGGGCCTCTAGAAGCCGCTTTCACATGTTCTCACACGCGGCGGACGCACTGCAGCATAACACCCGGACCCGTGTGACACGCGGTACTTTTCGTGTTCGTGCGTCTGGCCGGCATTAATGGGAGGGTGGCATTAGTAAAAGTGGCAGTAATGGGAGTCCCCCTCCCTGTAAAACACTTACAGTCGGGAATTACACGTGGCGCCCAACTGATTCTTCAACGTTCCATTAAATCCAGCAAACAGCTCGCCAAAATTCGAATTTTGTCTCTGAAACTTCAAATTTGAACGAATTCTACAGTAGCGTCCTGACCCAGCCTCGCATTGCTGGTCCTTGTCCCTGCCGGCCTGCAAAGGTGGTGTTGCAACGGACATTGACACACCCCACAAACGTACACCGTCGAGGGCAACTCTCCACACGCTGTCGCCTTTGTTGTGTCGGTCAGCGACAACGCAAGCAACGGCAGCCAGAGAACGTTCTTAATTCCTTCTCAACATGGCAACAAGCTCGCCCAAGTCCCTGCCAATCGCCGCCACTTCGCCGCGCTCACGCTCGGACGCATCATCCGCTGTCGAGGACGCACACGAGCAAATCCAGGCAGACGTGCAAACTCTGCTGACCGAAATGACAACTTCTTTCAAGTCATTCTCGGAAACAATATTTGCAAAAAGTAAGCTGCCTCGCGTCCTAACTGCGTAGTCGTGGCACGCAGCGCTTGTGGGACTAATATTGTTTTTCCTTTGTGCCGTAGTTGACGTGATGCAAGACAAGCTTGCCGCTCTAGACAGATCTGTTGCAGACCTGGCGAGTACCCCAGCTCCAATAGAATCATCTTATGAACAGCCAACAAAAGGTAAAGACGTGATTCCCACAGTCTCAATGGATGAATCATGATTCTACCAGACTTGCGCATATCTCGTCCTGGTTCAAATTTCTTTCTAGCCACGCGTTTTCGCTTCGTTGCTGCGGAAACTTATCGTCCTTTCAATGCCTCCTCGCTACTTGCGCGCAGATTTCTTCTTATCAGATATGACATGGCATGTCGTACATGTACTGAGTTGGTGCTCGAGTGTCTGTATCGTACTTTAAATTGAAGGCATGACCTGTTTTCATGGATCCGGGAACGGCATGTGTGCACGGCATCGCAGTCGAGCTGTTGTTTTTGCGCATCGCTGATCTCATAACTCATCGTATTCAGTGCGACGATGCGCACATGTTCTTATCACTTTAGAGATTGCCAAAAGGCTTGCCTAGCGGGATGCGTGATATGCGTGGAGGGTGCGGATTCTGCGCAGGTCTTTTCACATCTCATTGCTCACGTGCAAATTGTTGCAAATCGGGCGGAGAGGGAGAACTAACGTCAACATGGGTAGCATTCTCTTCTATCCAAAGATAGACTCATCGCAAACATGCCTCTTACATATACCATTTACAAGAGACGCACAAGTATTTTCAAAGCTTGAGGCATGTCTCTTTTGGGAATCGTTTCATGATATCCCTTTGCGCTTCGGATCGCGGCACAGAAGAGGTCGATCGAGGCTGTCATTTTCGTGTTGCATCCAGGGAAAAGCTGTAAAGTGGTGCATTCGTTCAGTGCGTGACCGGAAGATTTCCCCTTGCTCTCTCTAGTATTTATCGGACGGTTAGGCCTCATAATAAGAGCATCTCCACCGCGGCAGCAAATTCGGTCCAAATATGATATTTACCAAATCAGGGTAAAGTTTGGTCTCCACCGCGACACAAGAACGCAAATTGCATCGTAAATCGAATTTTAAATCGGCGTTTGGAGTTTTTCTCGTGGCAAATCAGGCCGATTTGCAACGAGATATATCCCAAAGCGATGATTGCCACGAGCTCGTCACAAGCTGATTAGGGCGCGCGACCATTAATTCTGATTAAATCTCACAGTAGAAACACCTGGGGTGGCGGGAAGCCAGCTAGCAACTACATGTGGGCGCGAAAAACAGAACAGCTGGTCCTCAAAAGGCATCCGAAATCACGTCATCCTCGTCATCGTCTGTAAGGAAGTTCTCAATGTCGCACTCGTCATTCCCCTGCGCAGCCGCGCTGCCTTCGACCGCCTCCAGCGGCGCCATCGGTTTTAGGGCGCCAAAGTCGTCCAGAGAGTCCATGTCGTCCTGCGGGTTAACGAGTGCGCGCGATGGAGACGAGCAGCGCATTCGGCATAGCGCATTGCAAACAATTTGGAACATGGGGTGCCCAAAGACAGTGACCAGCTAGAAAACTGACACGCGTTCTAATTGGAATAGATTTAGCTGCAGCGATGGAGATGCTCTAAGAGGTCAAAAGTTAATTTCACTTTTTCTAGACAACCCACCCCGCATTTCACTTCTGTTTTTTTGTAACTAGAAGGCCATCACCACAGGTAAAGCACCCTATCATTAATTCTAGCCAAAAACCAACTCATTGGTGCACATAAAGGTGTTCAAAAGAAAAAGTCGGCTTACGGCAAGCAGATCTTCTTTAGCGGCCTTGAGTGCGTTCTATGGTTCCATCTTCAGAAATTTTTAGAAACCATGGACATCGAAGTTGAAAAGAAATAAAATTTGCATGTTTTCATGCCCTCGGCAATAACATCTTGAAAAACATTGGAACAGCAGTTGTGAATATACAGAAAGACAAAGAATCTAATGGAGTTTCAAAATACCCGGTTGACACTTTAAACATGCATTTTGGTTTCGAAGATATCAACACATGACGTTTTGAGGTTGGTCAAAAAGGCTTCTTTTTCAGGCATTCTAAAAACGGCTGGAAAAAACGTGCAGATCTCACCTAACTGCACCCTTCCGCAACAAAGAAGTCAACTGAGGTGGCGAGAGTATCTTTTTCCTTCTTTTTGAGCAAGTACAAGTCGAGAAAAAATATGTTGAAAAGCGTGTGGCAGACACGGGTTGGAAGGACGGGAGAGGTTAGTTTGGTAGCCGTGCCTAGGCGGCGCGGTGACGGAGGGAGCCGAGCGCCAGGGGACGAAGATGCTCGGTGCAGGACGGCGACGGCGCAGTAGCAGCGGGAGCGAGCAAGGCGATCGAGAGGGGCAGTGGTCCTCGTGTGAGGGAAAGAGAAGTGGGCAGCCGGCGAAGTGTTCCGGTACTCAAGTTGTTACCCCCGGGGATCCCTTCTTCGTCGCGCGAGTCCCCCGGTGTTTATTCCCTCGGCCGCCGCTCGGTAATCTCCCGGCGACCGCCGGCAGCAACCCTAAAATTACAGTTTGGTTGGATTAAAATAGATGTGAATTTGGGCTCATCCAATACACCCCCCGTTGCGTGGCGACCAAAGACAGTGGTCCGGTGTTCAATCTCGATTCGAACCATGACCCGCTAGTGTCGGTGTTGTCAACGACGACCTCGCAACCATTTCCCTCTCGGCTCGTTTGTGCATTTAAACTCCCACATCACATATCGTTGAGTTATTGCGCTTTGCCGCACCTTGTCCATTTGCAGTGTACGCACACACTCTCGAGCGTCTATCTTCGTCCATCTTACAAACCACCACGCATCTGACTCCTCAGCTGCCCATTGCACCCACACACGACCCCGCTTTGAACCATCGAGACCTGCTGCTCCGCAACTACTCAGAGCACTCACGGATTCCCACAACCGACCTCGCGGCCTGCCGACATCATTTGTGAGCTCCTTGAGCCGTGGTACGAATAGGGCGGGGTGGTATGAGGCAGCTTCTCTTTAAGCGAGCGTGGCGCCTGCGCGTAGAATCGTTTGTGTCGGCCGTTAGAGGTGGAAATGCTAGAGTCGAGATGGACCATGATGTCGACATTATGGAATGGTCAAGTTTTGGAGCGGGGTGTAGTGCAGTGCGCTTGTCAGGCAGAGACCGCGGTCCGATGGTCCAGCAAAAACTACAACAGCAGCAAAAAGAAGAACTGCCGACGGCACAGCGCTACGGAGTGTCCGACTCTCCCTTCTCCGTTTAAACGAGCTTGCGACTCTTAGTAGCTCAGATCCCTGATAGGGGGGGCACAGAGAAATAGCCCGGCCCGGTATCGATGTGGTAGAGACTTGCGAAGAGAACTGCTCGACGAGTGTGGGGTGGGGCGCGTACTTAGGTACCCCGGTTCCATTGGGCTGTAAGGCCAATGCTCGTTGAGCTTCTTTGACACCTTGTAACGCGACAAGGCCTTCGACGGGGGCGTCGCAACGCAGCCCGACGGGATGAAATGAAAGTAGCAGCGCTACGTCAACTGTGCCGCCCGATGGCTCGAAACACCTACACCGGTTCGGTCGCAACGGAGGCCGATGGCACCAACACTGGCTTGTAACGCAACGAAGCCCTTCGAGGGAGACGTTGTTGCAACAGTATCCGTCGGAAAATGGGTCTCAATAGCAGCGCTACGTCAACTGTGTCGCCCGATGGCAAAGACACCTACACCGGTTCGGTCGCAACCGAGGCCGATGGCACCAACACAAGATAAGGGAAAATAGGTAGAATTAGAAATAGAAAAGGATAGGGAAATAAAGGAAAAAGAAAAGGGAACCCCCGAGCGCAAAGGATAAAGTCATCTGTAGTTAAAGGGAGTGTCTTGCAAAAGACGGACTTCAACCAAGGCGATATCAGACTCTGGCAACTCGGGTTGGTTTATTGACTTGTTCGGTCAAAGGGCTAAGTTATATAGAGCCCCGCCGGGGCGAATACAGTAGCTCCCGGCTCTAGATTCTATATCTAATTAGTAAATAAATTAAATAACTAAAATAATCGTGCGCTTCGTCGCACACGTGTGTCCCCCAAACCCGGACTACAGTATCCAATTTTTTTCCTTTTTCAGTTCCTTTCACCCCCTACCCGAGACGGGCATTGCACTACACGGGGATCGCTGCGCCGGGCGGGGACAGGCTGTCCGAGGTCCTGCGAGGGTGGTGCAATCGGGACAGGAAGGTGTCGTGGAAAGCTGAGACGGTTTCGCGTTGGGGTTCTCTTCACGTGGATTGGTCCGTAGAGGATGGAGAAGAGGAGAGACCTTACGAAATTAAACGCATCAGCCTTGCGTCCGGGAAGCGCCACGGGTGGAAAGCTGGCCAATACTACGCCTTCAATCTGTCATCTGGAGGCGCTAGTAGCTTTTGGATGGTCGATTTCTATACCTTGAAAGCTGAGTGCGGTGGGACAATGGACGCACCTGGGAGTCCTATATGCTCTGACGTGGAGCTACGAGAGGGATCAACGGAGAAGGAGCCGATGATGATTTTGCGATGTGGACCGGAGCAGCAGCTGAAAGCTATGTTGCAGCTGGACGAATGGTGCTGCAAAAACATGGACAGGTACAAGAGGCTTGCTTGTCCTGGGCTGAGACCGAGCTCCACACGCGCTTCCTCCTTTTCCATACCCTCCGTCGACGTGGCTTGCTATTCTCCCACGGGTAACTGCTTGCGAGCGGGAATTGGTAATGCGCTGTCTGCCCTAGACGGGCCTCTTGCAGCTAAGGAGGTCTTGTCCGAGGGTCCCGTGCCCTGTGACAGCCTTGCGATGTCCGGTACTTGGATAGAGAAGGTGATAGGGCGGTATGCACTTCACAATACTAAAAGTGCCGCTGGACATGTTCCAGATGCCGCCTGGCTAAAGAGCCAGGCGGCATCTGGAACATGTCCTTTCAGCAGAAGAGTAGAGTGTTCTTAGCGAGCATCAAAGGGGTAGATGAATATGGGCAGATGGTCAACCATGTTGTGGTTGTCGATGTGGAGAGAAAGGAAGTTTTGGACTGCGCAGAAACGAAGGGATTGATGATGCGAGATGGGGTCTTCAGTATTTGCGTTGGAGATGGGGTCACATTCGCAGGATTTGCAGAATTGAAGCGTGTGTCGCGCCAGAAGGTAGGAAAAAAGAAGAGGCCATCGAGGAAGATGTCCAAAGAGAAACAGAAGCTGGTGAGGGAAAAGAAGCGTACTGAGAAACACTAGGAGGTTGCTCGCCAGCGCAGGAAGACGAGGAGAGTTGTCATAGACGAAAAGGAGGAGTAAAAGGGGGCTTTAGTGATCAAAGCGAACTCGTCTCCGTTCATCTCCATGCTTCGTCCGTTGGGCCCCTTGCACGATGGAAGCAGTAAGGATTCCCGACACCAGTACTTCATTTAGTTAGTGTCTTGTACATGACAATGTTTCTCTTCGTAAGGGCGTCTGGGAGGTTTTCCTTACCAGGGATCCATTGCATTACTGAGATTTCTCCAGTTTCATAGGAGTCCCTCATTCTGCACACGGTTGGACGGAGGCGATAATCTTGTCCTTCATGCAACGTCGTTACTGTTGAGTACAAGCCATGAGAATCTACGGTATGTACGTAGGGAAGGCATGTGTCTGACTGATGTAGGACTTGAAGCTGCTCTGCCATGAGCGATCTGCGATCTGATGAAGTGGCAGCTGCAAGAATTTCTGCACCGATGGATGAGAATGAGACTCGATTCTGCTTACAGCTAAGCCAGTCAAGAACGTGGTAGATACCAGCACCCCCCGCAGGTAGGAAAACTCCAGAAAGGTAGCCTGTCCGCCCGTACGCTGTCTTTCCTTGAGTGGCGTCGGAGAACCCCAGATAAGATGGATTTTCCAGTTTGTCGGAGAAGCGGTACTGGAGCCGGGGGGTAAGGTTCTTAATTTCACTGAGGGCCT